TGTCTGAACAGTTTCATAGTTGTATCAATCAAGTTCAAACTATAAGACGAGAGTTGCTCCCCGTGCTCCCATCTATGTCCTGCTTTATGGCTTGTAATACCTCTTCTCCCTCCTGCTCTCTGTCTTTGTATCTGTATGTGTGGATGTTTATCTGAGCAACTGTGCTTCTGTTTTTGGCAGAGAACTTTAAATAGATCTAGAGGGAAGGTGTGATTAGCACCTTTACGTTGCCTCTTTTTCTCCCGGGTTTTGTTTAGTTAGTTTTTGGGGGCAATCAAAATCCGTTTTCAGGCATCACACTTGGGACTATGTAATTCAGTAGGGTTATTATACATGTGGACTCAGGGCAAGATGTCAGAACAACAGTAGTGTTATGCTGATGTGCCGACTTACAGATCTTTTTTGAATCCATCTTTCTTTGCCAACTGTATGTGTCTTGCTTTTGTTCCATCCACTTCCAAGGCTTTCAGAATGTACATGAACAAAAGCCAAGCATTATTGCATGGTTTGATGGATGGTTTGGTCTAAGAGTGAATGTCATTCATAATTTAGCTTTAACTGACATTTCCTTGCATTGATAAAATGTCCAGCTGCAGTCTTTGCTAACATTGGTATAGATCAGTGGTTTCCAAACTTTTCCATGCCTTGGCCCCACATTAGCTTTAGGCTCAGGATGCCACTTGCAAACCCACAAATAATGCTGCAAAACATGCAAATACATATCGACTTTAAATGTTTTTTCTAACATTTATTCACTATTTTAAAATTATTATATTTGTTTCACATGAGAATTGTATTAACCAACATGTTAAAAAAACTGTTGACAATAAGACCAGAACACAAGCAAACATCTCTTAAAATATCTTAAATAACATTATTTATCAAAAATAAAAATGATTATCAAAATGTATTACTATTTTTTTCTTATTTTCCCTCCAGCTTTTTGAAGCCCCACTAGTGCCCTCTGATGGTACCCCACTTTAAAGAAAACACTCGTATAGACCACCTCTATTCAGGACTCAAGAGAAAGAAGCGATACTTTGACACTGATAATACTGCATAAAAAATGGTGTACATATTTTTATTATATTCCTAAAATTTTTAGCCAAGTCATGGCTTGTGTAGTATTTAGCTTTATCATCTATATCCCGAAACAATATTTTTTGTACTAAAGATCAAATCTAAAACTTAAATTAGACTGACAACATATACATTTACATATACATAC